AAAAAGAGTGTGTTCGCTGGCTGGAGAGACGGTCAGCGATTAAGAGCACCTGTTGCAGCCAGGTGACACGTGCCTTTGATTTCAGTGCTCAGGGAGGCAGTGGTAGGCAGATCTCTCTGAGTTCGAGGCTATCCTGATCTACAAAGTGAGTCCAGGACATCTAGGGCTACACAGAGAAACCCTGTCTCAAAAAAAAAAAAAAAAAAAAAAAAAAAACAAACAAAACACTTGTTGCTCTTGCAGAGGACCAGGATTTGATTTCCAGCACCCACACCGTAGCTCATAACCATCTGTAGCCCCAGTCCCAAGAAAGCCAACACTCTCTTCTGACCTCTATGGGCATCAGACATGAATGTGGTGCATAGACATACATGCAAGCAAAACACTCTAAATAACTCTAAAAAATAAAAATAAGAGTCAAGTGTTTTTCAAAAACTAAACAAGGTCCTTTCTTTTTTTTTTTTTAATCAAGTGCTGAGATTACAGGCTTGTGCCACCATATCTAGTATATTGTTGTTGTTTATGTTGGTTTTGGTTTTTGGTTTTTTGAGACAGAATTTCTCCATAACATAGTCTCTATGTAATCCTAGTTACCTCTTACTCTGTAGACCAGGCTGGCCTCAAACTCCCTGAGATCCTCCCTCTGTCTCAGAAGTGCTGGGATTAAAGATGTGCACCACCACACCCAGCTCCATGCCTAGTTTTATGGAGTGCCAGGGATTGAGCCTATGGCCTTGTATACGCTACAAAAGTGCTATACTAAATGAACAATATCCCCGGCTGTTTCCTTTCTCAGGTGTGAGGGAACTGACGTCCTATTCCAGCTGCTTTCAATAACTCCTGACAACTGGGTCTCAGACCCCAAGCACACTGGCCGTCTCCAGAGTCCACGCGCTCTATCATATGTCTCACTGTCTAATACTGTAGGAGACTTAGATTCTGGCCCTTGCTGTTTGTATCCTTGCTGGGGCAAAAGGGAGGAAAATAGCTGTACTGTGATACTTAAAGAGTCAGAATCTTCGTTGTCAGATTGTTTCTTCATTATATGACTGGGCCCTTCAGACCTCTCTCAGTTATGGAAAGTTTTATAACCCTGATGAGGATGGAAAGATGAAAAAGGAGGAAGGGAGAAAAGGAGAGGAAGAGAGAAGGAAGAGGGAGAAGGAGAGGGGAGAAAGAGAGAGAGAAAAAAAAGCATACAGTCTCCAGTAGGCAAGGTGTAATGATGGAGCTGAGCAGAAAGTTTGTAAAAGCCACAAGATCAAAGAGACCACCCCCTGCTTGTTACAGTCCACATCCAGCCCAGGAGTCCTCCAGCCAGGCGCCATGGCAGCCCCCGGCTCAGTCCTCCGGTCCTGGTTCACCTTTGCAGGTTTACTGACTGAGAAGCATCTTTCCCAGAAAGGAGACCATATATGGTCAACACATAGCTCCAGGGGCACTCCCCGTGCACCCCCTCTCTGCCTGCTGACTCTGAGGACCCATAGATCCAGGCAGTCCCTTTCTCAGGGAGTTTACAGTCTCCAGTGCGAGACAGCCATGTAAACAGCTAATGCTAATGCAAGTACACATGAATATTCATGCTCTGGAAGCATAGGAGAAGCATTAGCCTGAAACCTTGAACATGGAGCAGAAGAGGAGCGAAAGGGCATTCCTGATTAAGGAACAGCAGAACAGCGTAGGCAAAGAGGTATAAGGTACAGTGAGGCCAGCGTCATAAAATCACAAGGACACAGACACGAATGTGACAAGGAAATCTGGGATCAGCTCAAGGAGAACCTTGGATGCCAGAATGGGTGAGATGCCCTGTGTGAGAAGGTTTGTGAGTCCTGGGGAGTCCTCCATGGAGTCAGTTGAGGAGGTGCCCTGACTCCCACCAAGACAGGGAGCACCCAAAGCCCACCCTTGTACCGCATCTTTGCCTCAAAGGTTTACCAGCCTGACAGTTTCCCCTCTGCCATTCTCCCCTCCCCCAGCCAGCCCCATAAATGGATCCAGATGGTCATTCCTATTTTCGGTAGTGGATGTGTTGGGGGAGGGGTGTCTCTGAACCCCATCAATCCTCAAACAAACTCTGTGTAAGAGGAGCTTCTTCCAGGCCCTGCTGTGATCCTCTGAGCCTGGAAGGCAGCGATAGTCTTTGATGGAGATTATCCATCTGGCTGGGGGAAAAGGGAAACAGGCAGAGGAGGCAAGGACACAGGCCAGGGAGCCTCATGCTCTGGGTGAGAACCAAGGTGATGTGTGTGAGAGAGACAGAACCCTGTGGGTTGTAGTGGAAGCCAAGCCCAGGAGAGAAGCCCCCCTCTTTTGAGAGCAAGGGATGGAGTTGGCTTCTCTATACAGTCACATGACCTTGTCCTGGCTTCTGTCGCTAGCCAAGGCAAAAGAAGGATAATGGAGGCTATAAGAAGAAAGCTAGGGCTCTCTCAGAGCATAATACTAAAGCACTGTGCCACCAGCCTCCAGGAACCCCAGCGCACAAGGAAGTAGCTATGTCCCTTTGCTCAGACAATCTGTTACCAAAATATTATGCCAAGCTTGTAAGTATTTGTTACAAATCCAGTTTAGTGAGCACTGCTTTAAAACCACTAGGCATTATACACTATTCTAGGCACTGGGTTTACAGAAATGAAGACAACCATTCCTAAAATGGGTTCCAATCTAGTAGAGGAAACAAACAATACACGGTTTTACGTGTGCTATGAAGAAAAAGGGTGTTCCAGCGGAGATGACAGGGACTTTCTCATTTAGACTGGAAGCCAAAAGTTGGCTGGCTGCAAAAATGACACTGCATCTAAGTCTGGAAGTATGAGTAGAAGTTGAAGTGGTATGAAGGGTATATTAAAGGCAGGAAGAGGGTGAGTGCCACACTCCTCAGTATGAAGGAACTGATCAGAGGTTAGAGTACCTGTAGCAGAGTGAAGATATATGAGATAGACACAATCTGGAAGGTACAGAACCTTGTAAGTTAAAACATGGTAGATACCACCAGGTGCAATCATGCATGCCTGTAATCCCAGTACTTGGGGAGGCAGAGGCAGGTGGACCTCTGTGAGTTCAAGGCCAGCCTGGTCTGCAAAGCAAGTTCAGCACAGCCAAGGCTACACAGAGAAAACCCTGTCTCAAACAAAACAAAACAAAACAAAAAAAAAAAAAACAAACAAGCAAACAAACAAACAAGAAACACAGCAGATACAATGAGAAGCCATTGAAGTTTGTCAGATTCAATGTATTTTGCTAGTACTGCCAACTTTGTGGCGGCCCCTCAGAGACTTGCTTTGAGTATTTACTCATCTGTACGTGAATGGTTAAAAGGCGCATAAGTTAACCGTGCTGGTAAAAGAGAGCAAAGACGCACAGAGGGAGTTAGACAGCTACTGTGACTGAGTCCAGAACGACTGTGATTTACTGAAAACTGTAGACCTGGCACTTAATCTATAGGCGGGTTGCTTCCCTTCTGGGTTCACGCTGCACGTGGTCATCCACCAGAGAGGTGCAAACATGCTCAACGAAGTTTGATTGGATTAGAATTATCTTCAGCTATGACACCAATGAGATATTTAAAAGATATGTAAATAAAAAAAAAACATTTAGCAAACATTTAATAGGTACGTGCCCAGTTCTTGGAGCATCTGCTGTGCAGTAGCAACTGTGCTAGCCAGTGAAGTCAAAGATCTTTGGATTTTCTACAGCACAGATCTAAAATGAATTTAAGTATCAGAACTGTAGGCTTTCCATAGGTTACCATTCAAGAAGAGTACTTTAATGGAAGATCTTCTCAAAGGCATAGCGTCATCTTCCTTAGTGCATTTGTCCATACCTTCTGTTGGCTAATATCCTCAGGTCATGAGGAACTGAGTCTGGCTGTTCTAGGCGACAGTCTCTAGCCAGAAAGAATGATTTAGCCTACACCTAACAGGTCCGCTCCACCTGCGGAAACAATATGCCTGGGTATGGAAACCAACCCACTCTGCTCCCAGTCAAACCTCAAAAAAGCTGTAACTTCTGGTAGCTCTTCACTTGTGTCTAATGTCCCCAGCCCTGCTGTTCCAATAAAGCAGTCTTGGCTCATTTGAAACAATCTGCCTCTCTGCCTCGTTTTCTTACACCTTCTGGAAGCCTGGTTCCCCTCTTGTCTTCCAAATTATCACCACCATCCCCACCTCACTCCTTCTCATCCCTATAAAAAAGCCAAAAGATCCCAAGACTGGAGCCTGGCCACTCTGTTTTCGGGTGTGAGCTTGCTAACTGCTGAAGGTCTCAGTTTTCTTTTGTTGTTGTTGTTATTTTTTTTCTTTTATTTGTTTGTTTTTCTTCCCCCTCCCCGCAGTTTTCTATTAAACAAAAATCCCAGCACGTGGGAGGCAGTCAGGTGGATCTCTGTGAGTTCAAGGCCAGCCTGGTCTACATAAGTTTCAGGACAGTTTCGAAACAAAACATGGCTCCCAAAACAACAATAAAGGGATTCCACCTATCTACCTAAATCATGATTTACTCCAATCAGGATGATATTCTGTCCTGCGGAGTGACCTTCTCAAGTTTCCTGTCTTTGCACCTCTGCATCCGTGCCCTCTCCAGGCCCCAGGCAAACATCACTATTGTCACAACGCTGCGTGTGTGTGTCTCACAATCACACCCCTGACTGAAAAAACTAAAGTTTGACTTGTGTTTGAATCATGGCCCCTCACTTCATCTCTGGAGCCTCAGTCTTTGATTTGTAAGCTGTGGAAGACAACTAAATTTGTATGTCTACTCAGTGTATGGACAGTAATAACAACGGCTATCAAGTGCTTGGCACCTAAGAAGTGATCCCGCCGTACCGGATCGCGGTTGGTAGCGCGGCTCCCTAGGGCTAGATTGAGAGCAGCCTGAGGACCACAACCGCCGGGAAAAGGCTAGGCTGGCCGGGCCCAGAAGGACGAGGCTCTTATTCCCGGAGGGAAGACCAACCTAGCGGACCCGCCCCACCTCCCGGAAGTGACGACACAGGGGCGAGTGGCGCCGCAGCCGGGCCTTCCCGCGAGGGGCGCGCGCAGCATGGCGGAAGCGGAAGGGAGTTCTCCGCTCCTGTTGCAGCCGCCGCCGCCCCCTCCTCGGATGGCGGAAGTAGAGACGTCGACGGCGGCCGAGACGGACATGAAGCAGTATCACGGGTCCGGTAGCGTCGCCATGGACGTGGAGCGGAGCCGCTTCCCCTACTGCGTGGTATGGACGCCCATCCCGGTGCTCACGTGAGTCTCTTCCGGTGTCGCCGCGAAGACGGGGAGGGCCCGAGCGTCGTCCCCTGTGCCTTTCTAGCTTTTCCCCCAGACTTACGGAAACCGTTACTCAGGGCCAGGCCGGCGCCGGTTCCCTGGGACCCCTTCGCCTGTGCGGTGCACGTTCCCCCTGGATGTGGGGCATACTTCCGGTCCTGGTTACCCCTGGTTTAATTGGGGAGGACAAATGTAGATCAGCGGGAAAGACCAGGTAACTTAGCAGGCCCTTAAGCTGCCGGTGTACAGAAAAGGTGTTTGAAGAGGCATCTTCATTCATTCATTCATTCATTCAGCGTTTTTCGTTTTTTCCTGAGCAAATGAGTGCTTACACGTCATCTGCTATACACAAGACATTTTGCCTTTAGAATAAAAGTGAGAGTTTGATTGAGGCCATCCTGGTTCATGGATTGTCAGCATTGGGAGATTTCATGCCAACATTTTGCCCTCTACATCTTCTGAGTTGCAAAACAGTTATTAGGTGTCTGCCTCCCAGTGGAAGAAGAGAAGCGGGTATATAGGTGTAGTTCACTGCCCTCCTGCTTTAGTCTTAAAAGCCTGGACAGTTTGCAACCTTGAATTTCTAAAGTAGGAATTCGTCTTCCCCCGTAGTGAAACTGAGTTTCTTGTAGCATGGTCTTGGTTTACTGCCCCAGCAAGAAGATATTTCAGAAGTCAAGTTTACTGACTGTATAACTGGTCTTTCAGGAGTGTCATAATACATCTCACCTGAGGAAATCCTTTCTCTCTCTCTCTCTCTCTCTCTCTCTCTCTCTCTCTCTCCCTCTCTCCCTCTCTCCCTCTCCCTCTCTCTCCCTCTCTCTCCCTCTCTCTCTCCCTCTCTCCCTCTCTCCCAAAACCATCCGCCAGGCAAGGTGATCCACACCTTTAATCCCAGCACTCGGAGGAAGAGACAGGCAGGTCTCTGTGAGTTGGAGGCCAGCTTGAACTATTTAGTGGTAATGCCAGGCCAGCCAGGCCCGCATAGTGAGACCCAGTCTGAAACAGCAACAAAACAAAAAGAGCCAGGTTGTATGGAAAAGGAATCATTTATCGTCTCAAATGCTGCTGAACTTAAAATCACTTTAATCTTCTGTTTTTAGTTAGTTTTGAGCCAAGATCTTGATTTGTAGCCCATGCTGGTCTGATATTTATCGTGTAGCCCGTGCTGACTTTAAACTCCTGTTCCCCCTGCCTCAGGCTTCTGTGTGGGACTACAGGTGTATACCACTTCATCAGCTAATGACTCAAATCTTTGCTTTATGTAAAACTGCTTTGGTCTGAGTAGACGGCTCAGTCAGTGCAAATAACCTGAGTTTGGATCCTTATCACCCATGTAAAAAACTAGATGCGGTAATGCACTGCCAGTAATCCCAGAGCTGTGGGAGTGGAGACAGGAGGGTCTCTGAGGCTTGCTGGCCAGCTAGTTTTTTTTGTCAAGTCAATGAGAGATATTGTCTTAAAAGTAAGGTGGAGACCTAGTAACACACACCTGTAATCCCAGCACACAGGAGGCAAAGCCAAAGGTGGGGGTTGGCTTAGTGGTTAAGAGGACTTGTTGCTCTTGCAAACCTGGGTTCAATTCCAAGCATCCTCATGGTGGTACACAGGCATCTGTAACTCCAGTTCCAGGGGATCTGATGGGTATGGGGCAAACATGGTACACATACATATACAGGTAAATAATTTATATAAATAAAACTAAATAAATCATAAAAGGAAAAAAAAAATCGGAAGTCTGAGTCCGGGCACTGTGGCCACTCCAGGAGATTATGGTAGGAGGTCCCTGAGAGTTTTGAGGCTATCCTAGGCTACCAAGCAAGGGACCAACATAGGGTTCCAGATTAAGACATTGGAGAGATGGCTCAGTGGTTACAAGCACTGTCTACTCTTCCTAAAGGACCCTAGTTCAACTCCCAGCACCCACATGACAGCTCATAACTGTCTATCACTCCAGTTCCAGGTGGTCTGACACCCTCACACCAATGCATATAAAAATAAACAAATTATTTTTTTAAAAAAGACCCTGGATTCCCCCCCCCACACACACACAATTAGAAACAAAACAAAAACACCCTCACGGTATGTGCTTGTTGATTCATGAAATGTTCCTCTAAGACATTTGCTAAATGACTCCTTAGGCCTCTGTAGATGAAGATGTTAAAGCCTAGATGTGTGGTGCACAGTGGCGATCTCAAGAGTTGACGGGAAGGGTAGAGGGTAAATGATGAATGCGGAGAACTCGATGGAGGAGAGCTGTGAAGAGAATAGACTGTGACTGTGAAAGTGCTTAGGCACTTAGGTGACTATGTTGTTTGTGTGAAAACTAGTCATGCTAGCCATGTTGACCTTTTCCTTGTTTCTTTTTTTTTTAATTATATTGTGTACATGTTATATTGAGGACAATGTTCAGGAATTAGTTTCCTCCTTTTGCTCTGTGAGTCAAACACAGGTCATCAGACTTGGCAACAGGTGCCTTTTCACACAACCATTTGTAGTCCCTGAGTTTCAAAAATATTTGTGGCATGTTCCTCCGCAGAGAAATGGTGGCAGCTTGAGGTGGAGACACAGTTCCCTGTTGTCCAGGCTAGAAGTAGCTTTCATCTCAGTTCTTTTCAGATCTATGCTCATCGTCACAGGGAGATCAGAGGAGGAAACTGAGTCCAGGGCCTATCCACCTCTTCCAAGATGTTAATAATAGCTGCTGCTGGTAATAAAAACAGCTAAACATTCCGTGCTCATTGTCATTCTGTCCTTACATCAACCTGTAAAAGCAGGTGTTGTGCTCATAGGTAGATGAGGAAGTAAAGGCAGGCAGCTCCAGGCTGAGCAGCTAACTCATTCACTAAACCTCTACTGAGGACCAGCTTAGAAGAGGCGGCAGTTACCGGAGCTCTGGAGCTTGTCTTGAGGACCCTGACAAGCTGCATTGAGAGTTGCTTCCCTGGGGCTTTGCTGGCCACAAAACTTTAGTGTTGTCTCTCCAGCCTCATTCCCAGCTCCATCAGCCATCAGCACAGTGGTGATGCAGGTAGAGTTGCTCAAAGCCAGGTCCCCTAACAGCTGGAAGGAGTCTGGTTCAGGAAAAGCTTGGGACTGGGTTCTGAGAAGCCAGAGGAGCTGTTTCCCACAGTTCCTGGAGTCCACCCTGTGTTCGCTATGGGTCTTCAGCTACTTAACTCTTTGTCACTCAGGTAGCAAGTATTTACTGACTACCTCAGGGTAACATTGAGCACCCTACATGTGAGCAGTGTCTGCATTGATGGCAAGCAGTAGCCCCTCAACAAAGCAGTTGTTACTCTAGCCTGCTCAAAGCTACAGCTGAAACAAAGCAGAACCTAACTTCACTCTTTTTTCCCTTTGTTGAGGAGGGGAACATTTGAGACCAGTCCCTCTATGTAGTCCTGATTGCCCTGGAACTTAGTGTCTCCCTCACTCTTCAGGGTGTGTATTAAGCAACTTATCTCCGAGACAGTTTACCAGCCCTAAATGCTCCTCCCCAATCTTAAACTTCCTTATTGAAGGGTTACTTACATATTGTAAGGTGCACAAATATTAGGCATTACAGTTCAGTGAAGCTTTTCAGGTTCTTTCTTTTTCAGTTTATGGGTTGGAGAAACAGTTCAGCAGTTAAGACCATGTACTGTCACATAGGACCCAAGTTTACTTCCCAGCCTCCATGTCAGGTGTCTCATAGCCCCTGTGAGTCCAGCTCCAGTGGGATCCAGGACTTGTGGGCACCCATACATACCCACATGCAGACACACGTGAAATTTTTCTTATTTTATTACAAATTGTGTGTGTGTGTGCAGGGTGAACGTGTCACAGTACACATGTGAAGGTCAGAGGACAGCTTTATGGAGTCATTTTCCTCTTCTACCACATTAGTGCCAGGGATCAAACTCAGGCCATCTGCTGGTTGGCAGCCACCCTCACAACAGAGCCATCTTGCCAGCCCTAGTCCAATAGCTGTATATTTGTTTTGTCTTCTCTGAAACACTAAACAATGCTGGGTTTTTATGTTTGTTTTTGTGGGTTTTTTGTTTTTTTGTTTTTTTTTTTAAAGACAGGGCTTCTCAGTGTAGCCTTGTCTGTCCTGGGCTTGCTTTGTAGACCAGGCTGGCTTCGAACTCACAGAGATCTTCCCACGTGCTGGGATTACAGGTGTGTGTCACAGGCTTGACTACAGCCTGTGCTCTTAACCACTGAGCCATCTCTCTAGCCCCAATAAAAGGTGCACGTATATTTATTTATTTATCCATTTACTTACTTACTTACTTACTTATTTATTTATTTTCTCTCTTCTCCTCCTTCCTTTCTTTTTTTCTCTCTTTTTCCCTTTCTTTTCTTTCTTTCTTTCTTTTGGAGTTTTTTGTTTGTTTGTTTGTTTTTTTTGAGACAAGGTTTCTCTATGTATTTCTGTCCTGGATTTACTTTGTAGACCAGGCTGGCCTCGAATTCACAGAGATCTGCCTGCCTCTGCCTCCCTGATTGCTGGGATTACAGGTGTGTGCCACCACGGCTGGCTTAAAAGTACACTTTTTTTAATTATTATTTATTTATTTACTTACATACGAGTGCTTTATTTGCATGTATGCCTACATGATGGGAGAAGAAATCAGATCTCATTATAGATGGTTGTGAGCCACCATGTGGTTGCTGGGAATTGAACTCAGGAGCTCTGGGAGAGCAGAGAGTGCTCTTAACCTCTGAGCCATCTTTCCAGCCCCAATTTATTTATTTTTATTTTTTGTACATTGGCGTTTTGACCGTGTATGTGTGTATGTCTCTATGAGGGTGTTGGATCCCCTGGAACAGGGGTTACAGACAGTTGTGAGCTGCCTTGTGGGTGCTGGGAATTGAACCCGGGTCCTCTGGGAAAACAGCCCCTGCTCTTAACTGAGGAGCCATCTCTTCAGCTCCCAAAAAGTACACATTTTTAAGAACACAGTTCAATGAGGATTTTTGCTTTTTATAGTGCTGGGGTTCAAACCCACGGCCTTGTGTGTGCTAAGCAGGCACTCAGGGGACTATGTAGTTTTTTTTTGTACATCCTTCGAAGTAGAACTGTCAGGGCTTAGCTTTTAGTGCTGACAGTTTTCCACAGAGAGGTGTTTTTATCTCCTCAGCAGAGATCTGGCTGCTCTTCATGCTTTCCTGCTCTCAATGTTCACATCCTTTCAGTGGCCCTCTGGCAGGTGGGGCTTCTCCAGCCCTCCTAAAGTGACCATGGAACACTGCTTCCCTTGCTTCCAAGGATGAAGTTTCTGTAGCATCTGCCTAACTGAATGAAAGACCCTCAGCTCTGTCCTTTCCCTGCTTTATTTTCTTACAGCTGGTTTTTCCCCATCATCGGCCACATGGGCATCTGCACGTCCACAGGAGTCATTCGGGACTTCGCTGGCCCCTATTTTGTTTCGGTGAGTCCCCATTTTGCCCTGCTCCGGAGAGACTTCAGGCTCACATAGAAGGCTCGCCTGGGCCCAAGAAATCACACATAACTCTAAGCCCTGGCCTTCTGCCCCTCACCCGTGTTTGACCCCTTTCCTTCTCTTGCCTCCAGGACAGGCCAGGAGGGCAGTGTGGCCAGAGGAACCTTAAGTAACTGGCTCAGCCCTCTTCCCCCCACCCCTGGGTACCAAGACATGGGTAGGGGTTAGAGACAAGAGTGGAGTCAGACCATCCAGGAACCACATCTCTCGACATTCAGAAGGTGGGAGCCATGGTTGGGGGACAGGGGAGGCTGACATGAGTCCCAGGGTGGGGTTGTTAGGATGAACCAACTGTGTTCCCAGATCTTCTTCCTGAGTGTGGACTAACACTTTCTAGATGAGCACATGGCATTTTCCTATTTTCAGGTAGCTGAGGCTGGAATGAAGGAGGGTGATGACATAGCCTGTTTGTTTTAGTACTTGTTACATCCTAACGGGAGAAGGCCTATTGTTTGTTGTGCACTTAATATTTTGATGAGTTAGGCATAATGGTTTGTGCCTCTAATCCCAGTATTGGGGAAACTGAGGCAGGAGGATGGCCAAGAATTCAAGGCCAGCCTGGGCTACTCACTAGAGTTCTAAGTCAGTCTTAGATGTAGAGGTGGACACTGCCTCAAAACAAAACAAAGCCAGGTGTAGCAGCACACACCTTTAATTCCAGCACTCAAGAGTCAAAGGCAGTGAGTTCAAGGCCATCCGGGTCTCCATGGAGAGTTGCAGGACAACCATGTCTCAATATATACAGATTATATTTCTGGGGTGTTGGCGTGTCTACACAGGGAGTCTAGGACTCTCCCCAGTCTCTCATAAGAAAGTTGTGTGGATCCAGCAGCCTCTGTGAGCTTCACTACAGTGAGTTGCACTGAGGGAGGATGTTCCATATGCCTCCTGCCTATAATGAAAGCTCAGACATTGCCCTGAGGGCAGAGGAGAGGGCCGGAGAAGCCCCTGGGTGTTGCCCTGCCTTTTTTCCACAGAACAACAGCTGCTATGACACTACCGAGGCCATGCCGTGCCCTCCTATGTCACTGTGGATCAGCCACTGCCCCAGGGTTGTCAGCAGTCTGGATGTAGTTTCTTCCCTGACCTTTGCTCTTGTCTTTCAACAGGAAGACAACATGGCCTTTGGAAAACCTGCCAAGTAAGTGAATCCCTATGTGCCTGATCAGGGTCAGGCCCTGTGAGGCACAGTAGGAGCCAGCACCCTGAGGACAGTTATAGGAGAGACGGCCAGAGCCCATGAGGACCCTGCCTACACCAAGCACCTGGAGTGTCCGTCCCTGTCTGGGTCTCATCTTGTAGACCATCCAGGCCCTCTCTGGGAGCTTGAGTTTTCAACCCCATGGCGCAAATGTGAGCAACATTACAGTTAGGATGCACCAAAGCTGGTCTCGCTGTCTTTCTGCGTAGCATGGATTCCTTTCTCCCCTTGGGAGCAAGCAGGTACTTTAAGGAATAGGAGGCTGCTTGACATTCCACTGCACCTCTCTGTTCGAGGGCAGGAAAGCAGCTCAGGCCCTCTGAAAGCAAAGCAGATTCATTGCAGACTTGGCCTCATTTGCTCAGTCCTGGGTGGTTCCCTTACCTCTGCCCTGATGTGCCTCAGCTGTCAGTGCTCTCAGAACTACAATGGGTAGGTATCCTGTGGCCCATAGCTATACAGGAGGCTGCTGGGTAAGGTGCCTTGGAGCAGAGCTCCCTGCTCTGACTTCTTGGGCTGGTGGAGGTGCAGTCGGGGGGTTCTTTGGGGTGTTTGCTATTTGTATTTAAGGCAGTTTTGAGGACAGTGTTCTCTGAGACGGAGCCCCTGAGCACCATAGTCCAGGTCACAGTGGTTTCTTGCCGCAGTTCCACCAGTGATTCATGGCACTGTACCCACCCCCTACACACACCTCTTTGTTTTTTTCAAGACAGGGTTTCTCTGTGTAGCCCTGGCTATCCTGGAACTCATAGCAATCCGCCTGCCTCTGCCTCCCTGAGTGCGGGCTTGGACCCTAACAGCTGCTTTCCCACTCTTGAGCAAGCTGAGTGGGACTTCAGGGTGAATGCCTGCTGACACACCACCTCAGTGTCATTCAGGCCTGCGTCTCTTGCCAGCTTTGTTCTTCGGCACCTTGTTCTCTCCTGAATACCCCAGGATTGCTCAGTCACTTATTATTGGGACACATTTAGTTTATGCTTCCCACCTTGTTCCCACAGCCTCCAGAGCTGACCTAACCCCTCTTCCATAAGCTTAGACTCAGGTGTTTTCTGTCTTCATCTGTTCAGGTTGCCATGACAAACTGCCAGTGAGTGGGTGGCTCATCAAACAATGTCTCAGCTTGGAGACTAGGAAGGCAAGATGAGGTGCTGGTTCACTGTGTGCCTTGTGGGGGCCCACAGATGATGAAACGAATGATGGGTCTCTCAGACCTCCCCACCCATAACGGGAATTTCTTGAGGGTTAAGATTTCAACATTAGAATATGAGGACAGAGCTGGAGAGATGGCTCAGTGTTAAGAGCACAGACTACTCTCAAGAGGACTGGGTTCATTTCCCAGCACCCACATGACAGCTCATAACTGTAACTCCAGGGGATCCGACACCCTCACACAGACATACGTGCAAAACACCAATGCACATAAACTAAATCATTAGGGCTGGAGAGATAGCTCAGAGGTTAAGAGCACTGGCTGTTCTTCCAGAGGTCCTGAGTTCAATTCCCAGCACCCACATGGCCACTCATAACCATCTATGGATGAGATCTGGTGACAAACATTCAGACCGTAACACTCTGGTCTTCCCTTATTACAGTTGTCTCTGGTGTGTCGCTTCCTGGGGAGGTGTGAACAGACTGTGTTCACAGCAGATTGGACACAGGTTTTAGCCAAATTGAGCTTTGCAGGCCTGAAGCCAGAGTTATTACAGCTTACAGACCCCTGAGGAAAGGCCTTGAGACTTTTTTTCAGGAGCCTCTTGAGCCCTGTGAGTTTTCTTTACTTCCTGTGTCTCAGGAGCTCCCCTCTTCCCTGCAGAAAAGGATGTTTCAATTGGGAGGGAATGGCCACACAACACTAGTTCACCCCACAGCCTTGGGCGCCCTGCACAAAGCTAGAAGGCCACAAAAGGGCCTGAGCCGGTGCCCCAAACATCCCCCTTTTCCTTCAGGTTCTGGAAATTGGACCCTGCACAGGTCTATGCTAGTGGGCCCAACGCATGGGACACGGCTGTGCACGATGCCTCTGAAGAGTACAAGCACCGCATGGTAGGTGGGAACGGGTCGGAGCATCCACGCCGCCCCTCCCCCCAATCTAACCCAGCTGCTCTTGTGTCTCCAGCACAATCTCTGCTGTGACAACTGCCACTCACATGTGGCCTTGGCCCTGAACCTGATGCGTTACAACAATAGCACCAACTGGAACATGGTGACGCTCTGCTTCTTCTGTCTGATCTATGGGAAGTACGTCAGGTGAGCTGTGTGCCCACGTGCAGGCTTCCCTGGCTACTCTCCCAAAGGCTCTCACTGGAGTCCTTCAGTCTCCAGTGGAACAGAGACCAGTGTGGCTGGACCGAAGTCCTCATGTATCTCCAGCTGACCTGTTGTTCGCTGTGAGCAAGGTTCTGGCCAGCTGCTTCTGGGCTGCAGTGGTTCTGGTGTCGGGGAAGCCGAGTCTAGAGCTGTTCAGTTGAGCACATAGGTTGTGGGTAGAGTTCCTGCATCCTGTTGGAGGCGTGCGGCTCAACAGTTGGGCTCATGGTCCAGGCAGACCTTTGAAGCCACAGCCTCATGACCTGTGAGCCCTAAGACATTCATTCTAGCCCACCTTAAGAGAGGACTCAGGTTGGGTGAGTTTCCTGTATCTCACAGCAGACCCCAGACTTAGAAACCATCTCCCACTAGACTGCCCCCCCCCCCCACCTCCCAAGTTTCTTAATTGTGCTTATCAAGAGCTTCTGGGTGGGAGGAGACAAGGAAGGGTGCTACAGTTGGTATATAAAGTGAATAAAGTATTAATGCTGGGATTGGGGAAGGAGGGGACCCTGGGCCATCTGCCTGCTCACCTGACCCTGTCCCTGTGCTCTCCCGTCAGTGTTGGAGCCTTTGTGAAGACCTGGCTGCCCTTTGTCCTTCTCCTGGGCATCATCCTGACCGTCAGTCTCATCTTCAATGTGCGGTGATGGCTTTCAGATGCCCCAAGCCCGCCAGGGCCCCCAAGGAGGCCCCTGCCACCCACCCCTTTTGGTTCCAATTCTTTTATCCCCACCCTCAGGTAGAGTCGCCTCCTGAGTTGGAAGTAGGGTCAGGACTTGGGACGGAAGTGCTGAGGGAGTGTGAGATAAGGTTGCGTGAGCCTCCTTGTCCTCTCTCCCTGGGCTTGTGACCTAATCTTTGTGGCACTCTCATTGCCATCCTGGGAAGGCCTTCCCTTAGGACGCCTCCTGCCACTGCCACAGGGCTGCCTCCATGCCCAGGGTATACAGTGACAACAAGGACCACTAGAACAAGCAAGTGTTCAGAGCTGGATTTGAAACTGCTTTCATGTTGCATTGGGGGGTGTGGTGTTCTGAGAAGCGTGCTGAGCCAAGAGATTTGGAAACTTCCTTGCTGGCCTAGAACAGACTGGAAGGGCTGGCTAGGCCCTTCCTGTGTCTGCTGGAGCTGCCTTAGTATAGTGTGTCTTGTCACCCCCGATCTGGGCCCTGGCTTAGCGAGGTGAATGGTACTTATGTGCAGAGTGGGTCCTCTGTAACTTAGGTAATGTGAACCCCCTTCTTTCCAGGAATCCTCACACTGGGGATAGTAACCCATGAGGGGCTTGGTCTACTTCTGGTTGGGCCCTGTGCAGCCTGCCTCCCCCAGGTCCACAGACTCCTTTATAAGGAGCTCCCTGGCAGGACGTAAAGTTCAGGTGGTGTCTTGTCATTTTCTTCCTCTGCTAACACCATGCCCCAGTCTTTCCAACTGGAGCTTATGGGCACATCAACATTACTTGTAGATTCTGCCATTATGGGGCTGGAGAAATGGCCCGGTGGTTAAGAGCCCTCATTGTTCTTCCAAAGGTTCTGAGTTCAATTCCCAGCATCCGTATGGCAGCTCAACTATTTGAATTGTCTTGTGGTGTGCAGATGTACATGCAAAGTACTCATATACATAAATAAATATTTTTAAAAATCTGCCATTGCACAGGCTGTGGGTAGTCCCTGCCATTCCCAGTCTATGTTCCAAGCTCTTGGAATGAATCTTTCATCTTCCCTATTGGGAAAAACTTGGCAACGGGAGTGGGGTTGGGACCAAAGGCCAGAGACTTGCTCTGAGGTGACTTGCTTCCTCAGCTGGGAGTACACAGTCGGGGTAAGCCAAGAGAAGTAAAAAATGACAGCCCTGGGCCCTGCTGGGTGTTGTGGCTGTGTTGAGCTCTCTCCTTACCCCACAGCTGTGTCTCTTTCTGTGACTGCCAGGCTTCTCACCGTATCAGTGTGTACTCACCTCTAGTCGTTTGCTTCCACCAAGCTTTTTCCAGGACAGCAAGTGACTGACATCCCATTTGTCTAGCAAGGCCTTGGGTTCCATGCCCAGCACTCAGATGCCTCCTCTGTACTGGCCTTTGTTAGAGAGTGCTTCTGTGAAACCTCCCAACAGCTTTGTAAGGCAGGCGTTATCAGTCCCACGTGACAGATGAAGAAAGGAGTACCACATAACTTGTCCAAGTTAGGAGGAAGCAAGAGTGGCCCAAAAGCCAGGAGAGCCCCACCCTAGAAAGGACATTTGGGTCTGAAGATTGCCAAGATTGGATACCTTCCAGGGGTGCTCAGAGGTGGGAGGAAGAAGGATGCTATTTGCCACTCTTCTAGGGAGAGAGATTGGATGATGCAAGTGGCCACCAAAATGACCACTAGGGACACTAGTGGAGAACATACTTGTAAATGCATGTTTTCACTGAGCTGCTTTCGTCTCTATACAAGTATTTTCTAAGAATCTAGAGTTCAGTAAGTGGTGTGTATGTTTGTTTTTTGAGACAGGGTTTCTCTGTGTAGTCTTGACTGCCTTAGAACTCGTTCTATAGACCAGGTTGGCCTCCAACTCATAGATCTGCCTGCCCCTGCCTCCCCCGACCCCCGAGTGCTGGGACTGAGAGTGGTAGCTAAGAGATTAAGAGGCCTGGCTGTTCTTCCAGAGGATGGCCTTTCAACTCCCAGCACCCACATGGTGGCTTACAAACATCAAAATAAATAATAATACAAAAAAAAAAAAAAAAAAAAAACGGTTGGGGCTGGAGAAATAACTCTGCAGTTAAGCAAAAACTGGGGCTGGGGAAATGGCTCAGTGGTTAAGAGCACTGTCTTCTTCAAAGGACCTGGGTTCAATTCCCAGCACCCACATGGCAGCTCACAACTGTCAGTAACCCCAATTCCAGGGGATCTGACACCGTCACACTAATGCACATAAATTTAAAAAAGAGCAAAAACTGATTGCTCTTCCAGAGGTCCCAGGTCCAATACCCAGTTCGCACACAATATTTTGCATCCATAACTCCTATTCAAGGGGTCCAGTGCCCTCCTCTGGTCTCCACAGGCACCAGGCACTCATGTAAACGCACAATGATACATGTAGGCAAAACACCCATACATAAAAATAAAACATTAACAAGCAAGCAAGCTCAGGAGCTAACTTGGCTCAGAGGACAACGATACTGCCAACACTATAACCTGAATTCAAGCCCTGTAGCCCATGTGAAGGCAGAAAAAATGACTCCTGCAGGGTCCTCTGACTTCCATATGCATGCCGCATGCTGTGGTATGCACACAGGTAAGATGTAAAAAAATTTTAAACAGGTCTGAAGGCCAGGCACATGCTCTTAATCCCAGCACTCGGGGCTGGGGAGATGGCTCAGCAGTTAAGAGCACTGACTATTCCAGAGGACCCAGGTTCAATTCCCAGCACCCACATGGCAGCTCCCAACTGTAACTCCAAGATCTGATACTCTCACACTGACATACATGCAAACTAAACCCCAATACATAAAATAAAAATAAATAAATCCCAGCACTCAGAGGCGGATGGATATCTGAGTTTGAGGCCAGCCTGGTCTACAGAGAGTTCCAGGACAGCCAGGGCTACACAGAGAAGCCCTGTCTTAGGGGGAGGGTGCTTAAGAGATGACTCGGGGGGCTGGAGAGATGGCTCAGAGGTTAAGAGCACTGCCTGCTCTTGCAGAGGTCCTGAGTTCAATTCCCAGCAACCACAGGGTGGCTCACAACCATCTATACCCTCAACTGCTCTCTTCTAGCATGCAGGTGCACATGCAGATAGAGCAGTAATATAAATACATAAATAAAATCTTTAAAAAAGTTTAAAAAAAAAAAAAAAAGAGATGACTCAGTACCTAAAAGCACCAGTTGGTCTTTGCGGAGGACCTGGGACCCTCAATGCCCCCATGCTGGCTCACACCCATCTGTAACTCCTGTCTCAGAGACTGACAGGTGCAGTACACATAACAGCAAGCTCGGAGGCAGCCTTTACTGCCTAGGAGCAAAAAAATAGCCCCAGAAGACCATGATCCCCAAATCTATGTACTCTTGAGACGCCAAACGGGTTCTCCTGGGCAAGACGTCCTCAATGACTGTGAGAGTTGGTATCCTCAGCTGTCACTGGAATCCAGGGTCCTTCAAAGAGGAGGGGCCCAGGGTGACAGGGGAGACAAATAGCTGTTCTCTCTGCGAACCTGGATGGTCAGGGGTGCTAGAACGGCTATGGGCATCGGGCTGTTGGAGAGAGGACCACTGGTGTTTATTACATGGCAGCTGTACCAGGCACCTGTGCACCAGCTATACCAGGCTTGTGCTGCTCTTTGGGTTCTACTCTCCAGTTTGCATGGGAGGAAATTACTGCTCAGAGGGGTTAAGAAACCAGTTCACGACCATACAGTGCTGGAGCTGGGCCTTCGAGGTTGCCTAGTGGCAACTCTACAATTTGCTTTCCAAGCAAGTTTCTGTCAGCCCTCTGTGGCAGAGTGTCTCTGCTACCCATTCCACAGATGGACCAACTAAGGCCCCGAGCTAGCCCTGCAGATGAGGCATGCTCCAGTTATACCGGGTAGGTCTACAGGACAGCTGCGCCCAGCCACAGGGGCCCACAAAACCGGCCCCGGGGTTCTCTCACAGCTGCTGCGGGTGCCCCAGTGCACCTGAGGAGTGCAGTCCAGGCCCGGTTTTGCACCAGGCCCTGCTGAGGTGTCTCCTCCTCCTTCACCACCTCAGGGCTGGGGCAGCAGCAGCTGGGCGAGTCAGCTCTAGTCCCCACTGCTCCTCGGGTCTCTGAAACTTTTTCCTGAAGAGCTGGAGTTGCCTTTGAAGTGCTCGTCCCTACTGGACCCCTACAGGTAACATACCTCCTCCCCTCCCAGAGAGTGGCCTAAGGGACAGGCACTGCCACCTGGTGTCCTGAACACATCCTGGCGCCTCAGGAGCTGGGGGTGGGGTTGCAAGCGAGCCTATGACTGGCCTGGCCAGGCATATCAACAGACTTTGTGTCACCAGAGGGTCTGTCGCACTGTGTTAGTACAGGGCGGGGTGGGTGGGGTGGGGGAGAGCCAAGAGGGGAACAGGACACACGGGGCGCCTGATCTGCTTCTGAAAGAGAAGGAACTTGAGGTAGAGAGGCCTGGCCTCGGAGGCCCACAGCCCAGACCAATCAGACCCGTAAGACAAGGCCAGGCACAGTTCTGCCAAATGGCCCTCCACCTTCACACATGCACACATCTGGTGGTCCCGGGGCAGTAGAGCACATACCACAACACGCCCTGGGCAGGCCGACCACACAGGAAGAAATGCTCACAACCCCACAGCACTACCCCCCCGGAAAGCCACGGCGCACACCGTCAACACGCCTGTAAGACTGTAGTATCACACAGCAGAGCTCGGGTACAGAGGCTGTGCCATAGCCTGGCCTGCAGATGTGTCTGGTCTGCCCTGTCGGTGTGACACTCACACACCGGTAGAATCCCAAGCTGCCTTGATGGCCAGCCCCTCACACATGGTCATTCAGGGAAAGAGTCACTGTCGGCACACAGGCTTTTGCCCAGGGCTATGAGGATGGAGACGCACAGAAACCCCCCAGAAGAAAGCAGGGTAGGAGGCACGCCTGCTATGCTTGGACACTGACTCAGCTGGGAGGAGACGGGGCAGGAGGAGACAGGCACAAGCCAGGACCTGCGCCGGAGCCGCCTTCCCCCACTTCAGCCCCACCTGGAGGCCTGGCGTGGAAGGGGGTGGGAAGGAGGGGAGAGGCGTCCCAGTGGGCCCATGCCAGGGCCACTACCCAGTGCTGGTCCCTTGCCACGTCCACACGCCCCTCTCAGCTGGCAGTGTTTTCCTTCCGGAGCGGCTGTGGTGCCTGGGCCTGACCTGTTTTGCCAGCTGAGGTTTCCAGCCAGGTTTGGGAGGTGGGGAGCCCTGTGGCCAGAAGAGCGGCTCAGAAGCTCCTTCAAGCAAGAGGACGGGCCTGATGGTGGGGAATCTCAGACGGTGGCCTCAGTGGAACTGGGTGCTGCTGCGGTTACCTAGTGGGGGAGGAAGTTAGGGGTAAGGGTTGGGGAGGAGGTTGCCTCAGACAGGAAGGCCAAACGGGCCATGGCAGGGTGGAGGGAGGCGAAGGCAGAGGCAAGCTGGGTAGAGGGCTAAGCATGAGCTGTGGAGAAGGCTGCCTGGGAATTTGCATGTTTGTACAGGTATATTTTTGCATTTCACGAAAAATCAGGTTTGGCCTGGTGCAGCGGCACACACCTGTAATCCTAGCACTTGGGAGGCGGAGGCAGGTGGATCTCTGTGAGTTTGAGACCAGGCTGGTCTACAAAGTGAGTTCAGCACAGCCAAGGCTACACAGAGAAACCCTGTCTCGAAAAAAAAAAAAAAAAAAAAAAGCAGTTATGTTGTATGCAAAGTATCAACTTTGAGGGGGGAATGAGCAGTTCTTAGCTTCTGGTAGTTTGCAGCCAGGTTAGGCAGGTAGTGAGAGAGTTCTGGGGTTATGCAGGGACTTACTCTTGTATGGAGTGGCTATCTGCCCTTGTGTGGACATAGTGTGTGCAGGTGTAAGAATTACTGGGCACAGCTCTTGAATGCAGGTCTCTTGTGTATGTGCGCATAGTCCCTTCATGCTGTGTGTGTGTATAGTTTCTTCATGGGGATGTGTGTGCCATGTACCTGTCTTTGTCTGGGTATCAGTGTGCCCGTGTGACTGTGCATTGAACAGTGGGTACACGCATTGCTGCATTCTGTCCTGCAAGTCTCTGTGTGCCCTTAGGGGCATGTGCAAACGCACACTTCTTCGAGTACATCCCTTGCTCCACATCTCACCTTGACCTGGCCTTTGTGTGATTGCTCTCTAGTACACATGTATGTGCTTGGGAGAAAACCAGGCACTTGGCTCCAGGATGTGCTGTGTATTCAAAAAGAGACTGATCAGCCCTTGGTCTACCCTCAGGAAGCTACATATGCCCAGCTGGGGCACAACCCCAGCTGATGCCCCAGAGAGGCCACCCATCTCAGGAGAGGCTTTGGGCCCTGCCCTGTCTTCCCATGGCCCATGGGCCAGGACCTGAAGCTGAGGAATTGCTGGACCTCAGCTTCCTGACAGAGGAGGAGCAGGAGGCCATCGCTGATGTCCTCAAACGAGATGCCCACCTGCGCCAGCTGGAAGAAGGGCGGGTCAGGTGAGACAGGACAGACATCAGCCAGAAAGAAGAGATCTGGGGTCCTTGGAGGCTGCCTGCTGTGTCTGGGTGGTTTTTGGCTCTCTGCGCTTTGGTCTCCACCGACCTTAGCCAGCTTAGAGCGCATCCCTTCTTCCGAACCTGTACCAGGTCCCTCTCAAGCCTCCCTGTCTCTGGGTTTTCCCACTCTGGCCACCACCTTGGAACAGGACATGCTGGTGGACAGACACCGCCTGTCCTTCTGGACGCCAGGCCCCCAGCCCTTGTGTCAAAACCTCTAAGTGGCCACAGGTCACCCTGACAGTGTCCCGTTGCTTCCCTGTAAGCCACACCCAGATACACATAAACCTGCATGAGCTCCCTAAGCCCCAAGCTCTTCACTTCCTTCGCCCCAAGAACAGCAGTGGCAGAGGAACTAAAGAGTGACAAGCCGTATCTGGGGGCAGCTGTGTAGCCTTCAGCCACTGCTTTGACCTTGAACCTCACCTTTCTCCGCTACGTAGCTAAGGGAGATGGCTCAGCAGGAAAAACGCTGACTGCATAGGCTTGAGGAATAGAGTTCAGTAGCTCCCCCAGCACCCACACAAAGGGCAGGGCAGTGAGGTGGCCCACCCTTAGTCCCAGCAACTTGGGCAATAGTGCTGGGGAATTCCCGGAGCAAGCTGCCCAGATAGACTCAAATCGCTGAGCTCTGGGTTCAAGTGAGAGACCTTGCCTCACTATAGAGGGTGGAGAGAGCTAAAGGAGGCTGGGCAAGTTTGGGCTCCACCCTCCACATGCACACGTGCATGGGACCACACACGTGGATACATACCTGCATGCACGCCACACACACACACGGGTGCATGTGCAAAATTAGCCGTCAGGCGCGGCCCACAATAGACATTTGGTGGATGGTGATTACGATGCCTCTCAATTCCAATTTATCCTTTAAGCAACAGTTCACACGTCAGCGCCTCTGGGAAGCCTTCCTGGGTCCACTCCCACAGAAGGCTCTCTTACCCTCCATCACCGTGAATGTCTGTTCTGGGTTCCGTCTCCTCCGTAGCCTGAGTGGCTCCAGGACAAGGGTCCAGTGTGATTTGCTGAGTCCCTGGTCTCGAGTGAGTGTCAGGGATGGTGGTTGGCTGAGGAGTGACAGCTGTGTTCCCCACTGTCATCCAGCAAGCTCCGAGCCTCTCTGGCAGACCCCTGGCGGCTGAAGATCCTGACAGGGGACTGGTTCCAAGAAGCACGCTCCCAGCGGCACCACCATGCCCACTTTGGGTCTGACCTTGTCAGGGCCTCTATCCGAAGGAAGAAGAGCCCCAGGGGTGAGAAGCCCCCCCCCCCGCCCCAGGGCAGGGAGGGAGAGCTTCGGGAAGCTAAGGGCACAGACTAGATGGCAGGACTGGGCCCTGGGTTCTAGTCCTGGCTGCTCCCAAACTGAGTATGGGCTTCTATGGGCTCTAGGAGGCAGATGGGCACCTCCTGTGGGTGAGTATGGGGCTTCCTGAAAATAGAGGCTCACAGACTCTCTCACCCGAGCCCCAGGGGACCAGGCTCTGGGAGGTAATGGTGACGCAGAGGCCGCTGCAAAAGACACCGATGAAGATGAGCCGGTGTCCAGGTGAGGAGGCAGCAAGGAGAGGAGAGGGGAGGGACTGCCAGTTGCCCCGCCCTGAAAACCCTGGCTTCTTCCTTCTAGGGTCTCCGGAGAGGTGGCTCCTCCAGAGAGGCACAGTGAGACCCAAGTGAGTACCCAGTGACCACATGAGCTCATAGCAACCTCACTGTGGTTCCAGATGGGGCTGAATGTGCTGGGGAGGAAACCCCACTCCTGGGAGTCAGGAGATCTGGGCCTGCCTCACCGCCTTCTCACCTGTGGCTTGGACCTGGCTTCTAAGGGAATTTTGGAATTCCAGCTGTTAAGAATAAGGATATATGCAGGGCAGTGGGGGCGCACGCCTTCAATCCCAGCACTCCGGAGGCAGAGGCATCGGATCTCTGTGAGTTCGAATCCAGCCTCAGCCTGGTCCACAGAGTTAGTTCCAGGACAGCCAAGGCCACACAGAGAAACCTGAAAAACAAACAAACAGGCTGTAGCTCAGTTGGTGGAGTGTTTGCCTGATGTGCTCGGAGCCCTGAGTTTAACCCCTGGCACCACATACACCCGGCATGATGGGGATCTCCTGTGACCCTGGGGACCACCTGTGACCCTGGGGACCACCTGTGACCCTGGCACTCAGGAGGTAGGAACAGGAGGATTGAATTGAAGCTCATCCTCAACCACACATGAGGTGTGAAGCCAGCCTTCTACCACAGAATCGGAGTTGGGCAGAAGCGGGTGAGGCTGAGGCCAGGGACTCAGACGTTACCACCCCCACCACCTGAACCTAGGAGTCAGGCTGGCACATCAGGAGAGACAGGCCTTGGGATGCCAGGGTGTGAAGTACAGGCCTGACTGGTCCTGCAGCTGGTAGCCAGCCCAGTCCCGAGGGCAGCCCTACTCCAGCAGGGAGGTAAGCAGGCTGGAGTCTCTGACCTCTGACCCCAGTATAACCCTTGACCTCTTCCTCATCGACACCCCGCCCGCCACACTGTGATCACTGTCCTTTGCTTTCCTTAGGGACCTGATTTTCCCTCACCATATGTACCCTCAAAGGCTTCAAGTCATGAGGAGCTGCCCCAGGCCCAGGAAGGTAAGTGGGAGGGTATGCTGGGAAGCATAAGAGGTTGAGGGGATCTGAGGCAATTTTTAAGGACCCCTCTCCCGTGTTCACTTTCCTCTTCTTCCTGGGTTCCCTCACTTGGCCTCCAGGGCAACCCCAGGTCACCCCTGGGGTCCGAAGCTGACAAGTGACTAGAGTTGTGAAGCCCCTTCTAAAGTTTCCTTAGAGACACACAGGAGAGGGGCTCTTTCAAAAGCTTGTCCCCCACTCCACTCCAGCCCCTGGCCAAGGGGGTATGCAGGCGGCAGAGGCGGACCCAGAGCTGGAGCCTGAGCCAAGGGCGGAGCAGGAGTCACAGCCATTGCCAGCCCAGGTAGGCCGGAGTGGCCAGTGGCTGAACTCAAGACCGGGAGCGGATTCCAGAGAGAATGTACCCTCCGCGAGGTGGGGGGTGGGGGGTGGGGGGTGGGAACCCTCCCCCACGCCCTCTCCAGGCATGGCCCAGGGCGGTAAAGGCCACCCTTGTCCCTTCTCCCCTTTTCAGATCAAGATGACCCCCCAGATCCTGGAAAATGGGGAAGAGGCCCCGGGACTCGGCCCCTCGCCCGACCGCATGCTCAGCAGCGGCTCCTCTGTGTCCAGCCTCAATTCCTCCACGGTGAAGGCCGAGGGAGGGGCTGGAGGGGCGCCGGGTGGGGAGCTTCCCGGGGGGAGGGGGGCTGACCTCCCACGCCGCCCCGCCCGCAGCTGAGCGGCAGCCTGGTGAGCCTGTCCGGGGAGGCGGAGGCGGGCTCCGTGCAGGTCCGAGGCTCCCTGCACTTCTCGCTGCGCTACGAGCCTGACAGCGCCGAGCTTCGGGTGCAAGTGATCCAGTGCCGAGGCCTGGCCGCCGCCCGGCGACGCCGCTCCGACCCGTGAGTGTCCGTCACGCGGCTGGGCTGCAGGGGGCCTGGGGAGGGGGGGGGCACTCAGCTTGCCTCAGTTTCCTCCTCTTCAAAACGGGCGCCACAATGTTGGCATCAGGCCTGCACGTGGGGCGCTGCGCTCTGGATGGTGCCTGGGGACACGCCTCCCCCCTCCCCTCCCCCCAGAGCCGGACAGAGGCTCTGGAAGGGCCCCTCCTCAACCCCAGCCTTCACCTTCCTCGCCCAGCTACGTGAAAAGCTACCTCCTCCCCGATAAGCAGAACAAGCGCAAGACGTCGGTGAAGAAGCGGAACCTGAACCCCATCTTCAACGAGACCCTGCGGGTGAGGCGACGGGGGGGGGTGTTGTACCCCGCAAACGAACAGGGTGCCCTCTTCCGTAGGGTGAGTGGCGGGGGGAGGGGGTTCGGGTGGCTCCAGGCCTTGTTCTGTGGGAGGAAGGACAGGGCTGGTTAGCGCAATCCAAAGCCTGGCAGTTTGTACTGGGGGCGATAGTGAGGCCCCAGTTAAGCCAGGATCAGGATTCTGTCCTGGAAAGGAGCGTGGCGAGACCAGCTCCCGTCAAGAGGGGTGCCACGGCCTCCAGCCCACGCACGCCCCTGAAACGCCCCTCCTGTCCCCAGCACTCCGTCCAGCAGGCTGATCTCCCGGGCCGCGTGCTGAGCCTGTCGGTGTGGCACCGCGAAAGTCTGGGTCGCAACATCTTTCTGGGAGAGGTCGAAGTGCCCCTAGACACGTGGAACTGGGACTCCGAGGCCACCTGGCTCCCCCTGCAGCCCCGGGTAAGGGCTCACGGATATCCCTTCTTTCCGTACAGGCCCAGTGGAGCACAGAGCCTCGCCCACCCTCATGCTGTTACCATTAGGCAAGGCTTGCTCCCCGGGGCGCCCCTGCCTGGGGTGTGCTGCCCGTCCTTCTCAGTGGAGGCCCTGTCCCCAGCACCCTTCTCCCCGGAGGCACGGAAAGCACCGTATCCCGCCAGTGTCTCGGGACACTACCCTGTGGCTCGTTTCACCACTGACAGCCCCCCCCCCCCCCCCCTTTGCCGGTTTCCCCCCTCCCGCCCCCCCCCCCCCCGGCTTTTTCAGGTTCCCCTCTCTCCAGACGAGCTTCCCAGCCGGGGACTGCTCTCTCTGTCCCTCAAGTACGTCCCTGCCGGCTCAGAGGGTAAGTGACTGGCTCTGGGAGGTGGGAGGCCTGTCCCATGAGGTGACGGTCTGAACCCGAGTGTCCCCACAGGAGGAGGGCAGCCTCTGAGCGGGGAGCTACACTTCTGGATAAAGGAAGCCCAGGGCCTCGTGCCACTGAAGCCAGGGACCCTGGACACCTACGTGCAATGGTACCTTCCTTCTGCTCCCAACCTCTGACCAACCTGTCCCTCCAACCGAGAACGCTCAGCAGAGGCAGGGGTGGAAGTGATCAGCTGGGCAAAGGGTCCGCAGTTGGGGGCTGGGGCTTAGTTGGTGGGGTGTTTACGTAGCATGGGTGAGGCCCTCGGTTCGATTCCGATAACTTACATAAACTAGGAGTGGAGGCAGGAGGTCATCTGTGGCTACACAGAATACACAAGACCCTGTCTGTTGTTGATTATCAGTATTTATATTCGATTTATCTTTTAAACAGTGGTTATTCCTAAACCAGCTGTACACCAAAATCACCACACAGAGACTAGCATTTATTTAACCTAGAGCACAATGCTGGGCAATAGTTACTCCATCCTAAACCTCCAAGCCCAAATAGTTTTCTCCCATTCAGAGTTCCCACATTTATACTTGCTTTTAGTCATCCCTTAGGTCCAGTTCTTCTCTCCTCGTGGTTCCAAGTCCTCTCCTGCGGATCTCTCTTTCTCAGACTATTCCCACTCTATTCTCTCTCCTCCCCTCTGGACCAGGATGTCCCACCCTATTCTCTCTCTTGCTCAGCACTGGCTGGCGGTTTTATTGACAAGATAGAGAACAAATGGTGGCATGTTTACACAAACTTGAGACAGGTGACACTTAGAATAAACATCACAATGCACCAGATAGTGAGGGAGAGAAGTCAGCATTTGAGTGAACAAGGAAGGGTACATTGTATACACTCCACAAAAACATTAGATCAACACCTGTCTCTAAATAAAATAGGCATGGTGGCATGCATTTTGAATCCTAGCCCTTGGGAGGCAGAGGCAGGTGTGTCTCCGAGTTCCAGGCCAGCTTGGTCTACATAGCTAGTTCCAGGTCAGCCAAGTCCACATAGTGGGACCCTAACAACAGTAAAGGTGGAGTCCGGGGGACTGAGGGACTGTGTCTAGTTAGGGTTTCTGTTGCTTTGATGAAACACCATGATCAAAAATCACTTTGGGGAGAAAAGGGTTTATTTGGTTTATACTTCCACATTGTAGCCTATTACTGAAAGAAGCCAGGACAGGAACTCAGACAGGGCAGGAACCTAAAGGCAGGCGGAGTGCTGCTTACCCTTACTCCTCAGGACTTGCTCTACCTTTCTTATAGAGTGCAGGACTACCAGCCCAGGGCTGGCCCCACCCACAATGGAATGGGACCTCCCACATCAACCAGCCATTAAGGAAATGCTCTACAGGCTTGCCCATAGCCAGATCTTAGGAGGCTTCTGTTTGTTTTTTGTTTTTCAAGACAGGGTTTCTCTGTATAACCCTGGCTGGCCTGGAACTAAGTCAGAGATCCACCTGCCTCTGCCTCTCCGAGTGCTGGGATTACAGGCGTGTGCCACCTTGTCCGGCTGGAGGCGTTTCCTTAAGTGGGATTCCTTTCTCTGATGACTCTAGCCCAGTGGTTCCTCACCCTGTGGACTGCAGACCTTCGGGGGGTTGCAACATCAGATATTTAGCGTCATGGCGGGACACCTAACACCAGCCCTTGTTTCTTACCTGTCAGCTCGGTGCTGCCTGATGACAGTCGGGCCAGCCGGCAACGTACAAGAGTGGTTCGGAGAAGCCTCAGCCCCCTGTTCAACCACACCATGGTTTATGACGGCTTTGGGCCTGCCGACCTACGCCAAGCCTGTGCTGAGCTCACGCTGTGGGACCACGGAGCCCTGGCGAGTCGCCAGCTGGGGGGCACACGCCTTAGCCTTGGTACCGGTGAGTGGGGGTGGGGGGCTGAGGAGAGCCAAGCTTGGAGGCAGGGTCTCAGTGGGTGACCTTGGACACTCCATTACCCTTCCTTAAGCTCTGTCGGGCACAGTGCATAATCTGGGAGCAGAAAGGTTTTCTTGGGACCTGAGGTGTTCAAGGTGACAGGACCCTCTACTCTGGCCCACCCACAACCAGGCAGCAGCTATGGGCTCCAGGTGCCCTGGATGGATTCCACACCCGAGGAGAAGCAGCTGTGGCAGACACTTCTGGAGCAGCCGTGTGAGTGGGTGGATGGCCTTCTGCCCCTCAGAACCAACCTGGTCCCCAGGACGTAGCCCCGTCAAATCCGTCTGTGAGCCCCCACCTAAAGTACATCCATGCTGGAGTCAATAAAGTCTGTTTGTGGAGCTACTGCCTACTCAACAGAGGATGAGGTCTGGGCAGTAAGGCATGAAAGACCAAGAGTGAAAAAGGGTCACTCGGACAGGAAGACCTCAAAGGCTGCTCCCTGGACACTCCCCCCACTTCTGAAACTTCGAAGACAAACATGGTAGCAAGTGTTCTGTTTAATAGCCTTTGGTTGTGTGTACTGTCCTTGGGTGCACCTGTAGTTAGTTCCACCCACAGGGGTTAGGCGCGGGCCCTGCGGTTGCTCCCAGGTTCTGGGACAGATGTGTCAAAAGCTGTTTGTGTCTTCTGTGTTCATCCATCCATGGCTGTGTTCTCTGAGGCCCTCACTCAGCCTCCCGGGGTCCAGGGGTAACTGGTGTGGCTCTTGCTCGCTGTGCCAAGATGGCTCTCCAAATTCGGCATACCATCCCTCCCCTGGGGACATCAGGGATCAGTGCAATTCAGCCAGCAGAAGGCCTGTGCTCGCTCCTTAGGGGGCAGTAAGCCCTGGAGGCAGGCCCATAGCTGCAGGACAGGGGATGTGAGGAGATCACCAGCAGGCGTGCGCGGCTCATCCCTCCCCAGGTGTACCTGATTCGGGTGTAGACAAGGTCATCTTGAGTGGCACAGGTGAGCAGGGTTTGGAGGCTGAAGCTATGGCTCAGGAGCTGGTCATGAACCAAGAACCACAGAAACAGGAAAAGATAAACAAAACAAAACAAAACAAACAAAAAAAAACAATTAGAAACTCAGGTTCAGGCTGCAGAGATGGGTCACTGTCTGCTCTTCCAAAGGTCCTGAGTTCAATTCCCAGCAACCACATGGTGGCTCCCAACTATCTGTAATGAGATCTCGTGCCCTCTTCTGGCGTGCAGGTGTACATGCAGACAGAACATTAGAAACTCGAGTTCTCGCTTTTTTTTTTTTTTTTTTTCTACCAAAATTCTCAGGCAGGTTACTCAGGCCCCCTGTGGCCTCAGTTTCCCCATCTGTGTAATGAAAGGAGCAGACTAAGGGCTCTTCCAGTACTGAAAGTCTCTGCAGCAGTGAGAAAATGTGAAGAGCTGGAAGACGAAGGAAGAGGCGTTGGTTGGTGGGGTCAGGGACAGGCTGGGGCTTGCTCACCGTTTGGATAGTGGCTGGGTCTACACTCAGTTCCTGAAGCCACTGCACCAGGCTCTGGTCCTTTGGGAGAGTGGCTGTCAAAAGGTCAGGTGATGAGCACAGAGGTGTCCTCTGCTAGAAGCGGCCTCACGTTCACCCTGCCCTAGTCAGGTCTGCTCACCTGGGGGCTCCGACGCTCGGGCATAGGCCCTGGTCTCCGCGTCCACTCGATGTAGGGCCTGTTGTACCAGGGCCTGACACTCCCGCTCCTTCTCAGCCAGCACATCGCGAAGCCTGTGGGAGGGTAGAGGGGGATAGAACAGAACGGCCTGCGGGTTGAAGCAGAACCCGGGGCGATTCCAAAAGACGTCACCTGTCAGTCTCGGCTCGCAGGAGGCCCAGCTGCACCACCAGCGACGGAGGCCCCTGCTTTGGCGGGGGCTGGCTCTGCAGCTGCTGGTTCTCCTGCGGTTTCTGCTGGGACTCCCCTGTGCCCCACTCCTCCGCCTTCGGTGCGACCGCTTTCTTCTCCACCTCTGCCAGTTGGAGTGGATTGAGCTCAAAGGTGGGCGCGGCCCGTGTAGGACCCCAGACCCCCAGGGAGACGGGAGAGCCACTAACCACTCATTATGTTCGCCACGCCTCCAGAGCCACACCCCCACCAGGGAGCTGGAGGGCGCCAACCCCGCCTACCCGCGTCCAGCACCGCCAGGGCCGCCCGGACCGCGCGGCTGAGGAGCGAGTTCAACACGAACATCCAGTGTGGGCGGATCTGGCGTCTGCGGAGGATCTGCTTCACCTGGGGAGGGAAGGAGGGCGCGGCTGAGCCAGCTGAACCTCGAACAGAGGTGGGGCTGGAGTCGCAAAGCCCTGCAGAGTCTGCTGCAGTCCAAGAGGGGTGGGCAGACTTGGGGTCAAGGGCGGGATTGGGAAGCCAGGGCTGGACGTATGTTTTCCCGGAAGAAAAACATGGAATCCTGGACCATCAAGTCCTTGCAGGGAGTTCACAGCCAGTCATTGCGCAGCCCCAACTGCGAGGAAGCGTCCTCACCGCCTCTGGGAAGGCGAAGAGCGGCCCGTTCAAAAGGGCAGGCCCCAGGCCCTGGGCCCGCAGCTGAGCTTGCAGGGCCCGCAGCTCCTGGGCCAGCTGCCGGCGGTTAGGAGTGTGGATTTGTGCCCCGAGGCAGCGAAGCAGCTGTTCGACATGATTCCTGCTGAGTCGAGAATCCTAAAAAGAGAGAGGACGTCCGTGGGCGCTCCCGCATTCAATGGAGATGCTCGCGGGTGGGCCACGAGGTCCTAGCCCGGATCGGCCACCAGGGGGCGCTGGGGCGGGCCGCCCACCTGTTCCTGCTCCAGTAGACTCTCTGCCAGTGTGGGCAACTCCTGGCCCAGCACGGCAGCCAGCATGGCCCGGCGCTTGCTCTCCTGGTGCAGCAGGCTCAGCCCCGAACTCTCCTCCGGGGACGCGGGCTCTTCAGGAACACTGGGCACAATGAAGAGCATCAGATGGGGGGGGGGGGGGGGGGGGGGCCCCCCGGGGGCCCCCCCCCCCCGGGGGTGGCGCTGGGCGCCCCTTTTCCTTCCCCTCCTCCCCCCGGGCGGCTATCACCGACCCAGGCTCGG